CTGAGTCTCTTGGCCGCTTTGATCCGCTCCAGTTGCTCTGCCGGTGATCTCTTGCTCTTGCCTTGTTGGTCTGGCTTTTTCGAGGCGGCTGTTGAACTTTGGCCAGGAGTCGGGGTGCTGCAAGCTGGCACTTCTGAGCCCCCTTTGCTTTCAATCTTCACGTCCGGTTTCTTTTCCACATTCCCTTTGCGGTCTTCTTGTTCTATCTCGTGGGGTGCAATGAGCGTGGCATTGCTCAAGGTTGATCCCTCTGTATCGGAGTTGTCCACCAACATGCCTGGTTGAATCACAGTGATATCAGTGGCACCACTGCCTTCGCTGGCTGTATCACTTGTTGCATCCACATTGGCCATGGCTTGAACCAGAAAACAAGGATCGCTTACAAAAAATGAAAAGAATAAAGAGTTGAAAAGTCAACCTCATTGAGTCGCTGAACATAAATATTTGTGGTCTGTTGAATTAACATCGTTTGGCGTGATATCTTGGCCCCTTGATATCCAAAAATTGCTTTAAAGTTGAGAGCTATATACATTGATGCTATGGACAGAATACACTGCGGATCATTGAGTTTGTGTTCGAGTTTGGCAGCCTACTACTGGAACCAAAGTCTGGCACGCCAAGTCGACATGACCTGGCAGCCAAACCATGGAACCAATAGCCTGGCACACCATACAAGTGTGAGTGAACAAACAATGCGCCACATTCAGTTTGTGAAAACTTTGCAAAGTGTGACATGGAAGCTTGAAATTCTGGCCTCAGAAAGAGATTTCTGCCATGTAGCGCAGTCACACCTCTTTTTTCACACTGCGCCACTCTCCTTTGTTTGGGCCATGTCGCTGGGCCATTCGAGGGCCTTCCAAACCAATAAGTTGGCTCATTGAATTTATCATATCCAATCTTCATCCAAATTGCAATTGTAGAAAAAGTACATTCAGCAACACCTGGCCTTCTGGAGATTGGGATCCAAAAAACTGCTCAGATCACAGCTTTGCAGGGCGTTGGCCCAAACGGCGCTTGGACTTGAAACCCAACAAACACCCTGCGCCACATTCCGACTAGGAGACAACAGGTGAAAATAACTTAGAACATATAAATCACAAAGTGCAACATGTCAAAAACAAAGTGGCTGAAAGCAGAAGCCGGATCCAAAGGTCACAGTCACAGCTCCAGCTGTGACTGGCCACTAGGGCCGAACAACTACTAACGCTTGCTGAGGCGGGATCTGCACCGGAGATTTCAGAAACACCGCAGGCTTCAATGGAATGAGGCCTTTCACTGGGCTATGCTTCATGTGCCACATGATGGCCACTGAATCACTTGAGTGCCACAGCTGTACATTCTCACGAGCGCCAGCGTTGGAATCCTTCACCTCAGCAGCTTTTTCCTCAGGCCTGGGAATGAACACCACTCGATGGGTTCTCTTCAGTTGGAACTTGTGGGGATCTTCACTATCAAAGCTCATCTGGAAGTAAGTCACTTTGGTCTCGGGGTTCTTTTTCCTCAAGTCTTTCACCACTTCTCCCAGCTGCACCACACGCCCATCGAAACAAATCTGGTCAGAACTGCCTTCCAAAGATAGTTCAACCCCACCATCCGGCAAGTCAGCATCACCCTTGATCATCTTGAAGCTTCCCTTTCCGAAGCCACAAATTGGCAAATCCTTGCCTGACCAGTCCTTGTTGGCTTTGTTGGCCAAGAAGATATGGTTGCCAGCCCTGACTTGAAGCCACAAGGAGTCCTTGACGTTGGTGCCAACCTTGCACTCATACAAAAGCGCTTTGTCGATCTTCTCCAGTTCAATCAAAAGCGATGGGTCTGTGGCCTTGGTTCTCTTTGGGGTTGTCTGTCCTTCTGGCTCTCCAGCTTTTCGCTTCTTCTCTTCAGCGTTTGGACTAATTGCTTGGGCCTCGATGACCTCATAGGTCTCAAGAAAATTGTCCAGCACCTTTTGGAACTGGCTCCCACAGGTTGAGTGTCCACGCCATTCTTGCACAAGCTTGGCAGGCATGAACAGCTTGCCATCCCGAATGACCTGTGGTGAACCAATGAATATCAAAAGTTGGCAACTGGATTGGTAAGGAAGGATTCAATGAATGCTGCTTCATGCTTCTGGTTACTACCCAAAATTGTCTATTGAGTCTATTTGTTTTAAGCCATACTGTTGTACTTGGTGATGGCCTGGGCCTAAAAATGTTGTCACTAAAAGAAAACAATTCTGATCAATGTCCAAAAAACCAAGCAGTTGAGACGAGGGTTCTGGGGCAAGGCCTCCAGCAAATCATCGGGGACAGACGCCTCAATTTTCTCTCCGTTGGGGAGCGCGGTGCCAGCAAGAAACTTGTCAGCCATATCATTCTTGATCCACTGCTCCACATAGCTGGCTTCATTTTGGTCTTCAGCCAACCCGAAGTAAAAGACATGAGGCGTGCTAGCCCTCATCTTGCAAAATGCCTGCAGCATGTCGCCGGTCATGATGTGCAAATCTATCAGCAAAAGAGCGGGACCAATGGTTGAGTATGTGCTCCCTTTCAGCAAGCCATTGAGCAGCTCATGGCAACAATCGGCACCAATTTGTGAGTATTTTGAAGCACCTTTCACTCGGCTGGTGGTATCAGTAGACTCAGGCAAAGCATCGTCAGCCAAGTTTTCCACTTCTCGCGTATCTCGTTGGTGCAGCTGGGCCACCTCATTGGTTCGCTGAAGGCGCCGGAGCTCTGAATTCCAAAAAACGTTCTTCTGAACATCGAGGGGGGGAAGCAAACACAAATTTGCCTGCATACACCAGAGGTCGGAGGTCTCTGTTGTCCTGCCGGTTGCCAAACATTATGGCAAAGCCCCAATCCAGATTGTGATTCCCACCCATGAGCTGGTCATACAAGGCGCGTTCTTCCAAAAGGATGCGGCCCTTTTGGTAGCTGAACACTGGGTTGACTACAAGACCCACGCCTTGCATATTCTCAGCCAAGGCCCAGGTCATCACCTCAACACTGTTCTTCAAATGCACCGTGGAGAGGACACATGGGGCACTGGCATTGAGGTAGCAAATGTGTGGGATCTGGGTCGCATGCTCCAAGCCCATTTGGTTCATGATCACTTGGCGCCTAAAGTTCATGCATTCGCCGATGTTCTTCTCAACCTTCTTGTCCCAAGGCACAATCCGACAGCAAGACTCGAAGAAGGTGTCAGCTGCGGCGAGGGCCTGCTGCCTCTTGTCAACCTTCCATTTCATTGCAGCATGATCACGATTAGCCATAGCTGTGGCTTTCTTGGCCTCCCATGTGGTGAAAACCTGAACATCATATTCAATTTGCTTCACCACCAAATCAAATTGTCCTTGTGTGATGGAGCTTTCCTCATGGTGGCTTCTCACCACTGGTCGGGAGATGACATCACACAACTTCTTCATGCTGGGCACATGGGTTCGAGGATCCAAGTCTTCTCTCCTTTCAAGGAGCAAACTATCTAGCTCAGTATCCACGTTGCAATCCCCTTCAGCCCAAGCCACACACCAATCCTGGAAAACCTGCTCAAACCTCAAAGGCACCAGGTTGCATAGTTCATTGGCTAAGTTGTAAGCCAAGGCAGCTTTCCTCGATGCATCCTCTACAACACTTGAATCGGGCCTGGAACGCATCTCCACCGATCGGGCCTTGAACTTTGCATGCAAGTAGCGGATTGCAAGCAACATGCTTTGGTCACTGGTTTTCAAACGGTTCACCCATTTCTTCGATTTGGCCGGGAAGGAAAACTTTGGGAAAAGCTTCTTGGTAGACAAGTTGTCATCCGACCAAAGAGCCTGGTCAGAACCCATTTCTGACACATGGCTCAAGATCAGCTGGAGGGCCTCCTGCCAGGGAGCCCTTGGGGAGAAAACATGTGAGATGGTAAGATCAAACAATTCAACACTTTGAAGCGCATCTTCCTGAATCTATATAAAAACATGAAGATCCAATCCAATAGAAACAAAATTACAATATAGAATAATAGTATGCCAATTTGCAGACTTTGAGCTAACAAATTGAGACACCCTCACTGCCCATCACCCAGTCCTCAGGGGCTTCTTCAAAGAGCAACTTCATGGCGGTCAAACGTTTCCCTTTGAATTGAAACTGTTGGGCAGACATAGAGTTCCACTGCCGGACAAAGACCATGTGATCTCGCACACTGCCCATGTTCATCAAGTTTTTTCACCATCACAACGCATTCCAGTGTAGTGGTTGCTTTCCGAAGGGAAGACCGACAGCTGATCCTCATGTTGGTCAAAGCCTCTTCTACCCGTGAACTGACCTTCACACTGTGCATGTGAATGCGCCTCACCGAAGCATACAGAGCGCTGAGGTCTTCCCAAGCATCGAACTTCATCACCATCAAGCGGTGCAGCAAAAACAACAAAGATGAAGCACGAGCCATACCCTTCAGGTATCCCAAACTAAAGCAAGGTTCTGTAACTCCATCATGCCACAAAGACACTGGACGTCGGGAGTCTTCAACTAGCATGTTCTCCAACACCAGCAGCGGCCCAGTGTCCGGTGTTGTGGTGAGGAAACCTTCCAGTAAGAACTGCTCACACAAAGCAAGACATTGCGCTTGGCCTGGAGGAGGCTTCAGAGAACATTTCTCAGAGAACCCCAAACTGGCTACATGGCACAAGAACGGAGGGGTTGAACTGGCTTCAGACTCCTGAATCAATGGCAATCCTTTGGTGTGATGATACAGACATGAATCTTCTTCCGGAAAGGTTGTCCACAACCACTCCCCGAACTCCAACAAGTCCACATCGGCCAGGTACTGGGCGGGGCCACCGGCTCTGGTGAGCACTGAAGACAAGTCCTCCATCACTCTATCCTTCACACGGTTGTTCCAGGTGCTTGGCATATCTGGACCTGCTGCTGCTTCAGCCTCATGGCTTGGAGCTATGAGCCATTCATCCAAGGTGGTGGCATCCATCTTGGTCTCTCCAACTTCATGGTCAGCTATCATCGTGCTTCAAGCTTGGCAAGCCCCGGCCTGGCAGCCTCCAGAAGAGGCACGCCAGTCCAAAGGCAGCCTGGCCTTCACACCGAAGATGGCTCCAAATGAATCTTGAACCCTGCCAAAGGAAAACGGCCGCGGATGAGTGAGACTGGGTTTGTGAAAACAAAGCTCCACCAGTGACTGCAAAACAAAAGAATATAAATTTCCAAAGGTCCAAAAATTTCTGAAATTGTTTAAGCAAGAATCCGGCCCATGTCCCTACTGTAGAATTTCAACCGGAGATGGGCTGGTTTCATTTGAAACCGGCCTATGTTCCATTGAAGACAGAAGATCTGCCTAAAAGGGAATTGGAAATACAACTGTTGATTTGGCTGGGAAGTGCAAAACACAGTCGAGATAGGCTGGTTTCAATTGAAACCAGCCCATCTCACAATCAAAATTTTAAGTAGTGAGATGGGCATTTTTTCAATCAACCTTAAACATTTCCAATGCAAACAGAATGCTCGCAAATTTTTTGCAGTACCGTTTAGGGTTTAGGGTTTCACTCTGCGACCGCTTCTGTTTTTTCCCAAGATGCTCCTAACCAGATCATCCCTGAAGTAAGATGGAACCCCCAAGTTCCAGCTTGAGAAACGGTGACACTGTGATGTATCACATAGCTGCTGGCCACACAAACCTGGAAGTCAATCAAAAAGTGAAAAATACACCTAAAACAACATCAATGTCCAGAAAAAAAACATCGGGCGTTAGTCAGAAATATTTTGGTTCACTTCTGCTGCGTGGCCTTAGCTAGAAGGGACACCAGCGGTGGTGGGTACTTTTGGCACCACTTCGACATTGAAAAGCCAAGTTCCGAGCCCTCTATGGGCCTGTGAGTGTGGTTGCCTGGGCACTGCCTCTGGTTCAATTGATCAGCCAACCACTTGTCATTGGTTAAAATAGTGGTTCTTTTTTTTACTGGCTGTCCTGCTGGTGAAACCATGCCACAGGCACACATATCGAAAGTTGCTGTGAATACATTTGGATGCCGCTGGACCTCTTGGACTTCAGGTAAGCCCCAAGAGGACGCCTTCCAAGGATGTTCATACATGAAGCGGCGTTTGCCGCGCAGCTGCACTTTGGCGCAAGACATGCTATGGCAAACATATTGCACTGCCTGCTGCCAACGACGATCAAAATCACTAGCGCTCATCCTGTGGTAGTTGAACAATCTCATGAGCTCGCTGAACATCGTGCATGGAGGTGATAGGTACAAAAAACCAAATGCATCCAGAACGAAGCATCTTCAAAGTCAGCGCTCTCAATTCCGCAATGTCGAAGTTCCAGTGATTCAAAACGTCAAAACTGAAGCAACCCAAAGGGGATGCAGCAACTTCTGGCGTTGCTTTGGGAACTACTCGTGGCACAGAGTATAACTCCATGGCCAAGTTGGCCAAGTGTTTCCAATGTGCATGTGACTGGAGTGGTGATATGGGGTGTGGAAGAGCAATACTATTTGTTGCCCATGGACCTGCCCAAAAGCTCATCTATGGAATGCACAATTTTGGCTAAAGCGCTTGATGAGACCAAGAAGCGATTGAAAGAAATAGATCCAAGCTACGATTTGCCTTGCCACCTCATCGTGGCCGTTGACAACACCCCCAGAGAGGCCAAGAACCAGTACTTTGCACAGTTTTGTGCATATCTCAGCTGCAAGCACTTCGCCTCGGTGCAAGTTGAGTTTCTGCAAGTATCGCACACTCATAATGAGCTGGATCAGCGGTTTTCAAGCATGGCCAGTTTGATAAAGCGCTGTGATGAGTTGCAGAGCATCGACCAATTGCAAAGCTACTTGCAGGCCCATATGCGTCCTGCTCAGGGCAGAAGCTTGTCAGTGCATGTGCTTGACAACCATTGGAGCTTCAGCCAGTGGTTTGCTGGGCAGACAAGTTGCCAGCTCTCAGGTCTGACCGCGACCAAGCTCCAACCGCACGCGAACCACCTCTGGCGGTTTTCTCGACGAGAAATTTTGGAGCAAGAGCTGATTCAGAACAACCATGATGAGTGGGCCCTTTGGCCAGAAAATCCATTGGATATTTGCATGCAGGTGAAGCAATACATTTCATCCCCAGAAATGTCTCAGGCCCCAGAGGTCATCATGCCATACCAGGTCTACCAGAAACTGTCCAAGAACAATTTGGCGCCTTCAAGCTTGAACAAGTTTGCGCCCACCACCCTACAGGAGTTCCGCAAGACTGCCGAGTTGGTGGGCAAACCACCATGTAATTTGCTAGAAGGCCAAAGCTACTTGTTGGATTTGTGTGAACGCAATGAAGCTGGCGTGGTGCCAAAGCCACCTGACTTGTTCTGGGTCTTTTCTTTTGAAAGCCAAAGTCCCAGATTGGATCCAGTGATTGGCCCTGCACTTTTGCTCGAAGATTTGCCGCCACCAGAGAATGCTCCACCTCGCCCAATCCGAGTGGGCGCCAAGAAGATGGCCATGAAGCGACCAGCAGCTGGACCCGCACTTCCAGCACGCCCCATCCAAATGAAAAGGCCCGCTTCAAGTACTGACCTCCCAGCAGGTGGCCTGGCAAATGTGATAGACTTAGAGGTATCAGATAGACCGTCATCGGCTGCAGCTGCGCCCTCCGCTGTGGCAAAATCAGAAGCAGCAGCATCAGCATCGCCCAAGGCTGGTGGTGTGAAAAAGATGCGTCGCCCAGCTGCAGCTGTGGAAAAACCACCTGGTTCAGTTGACGCAATCCGGGCCTTGCCAGGCTTCGAATGCTTTGGGTGCAGCAAATG